TCACGTTGCTCTTTCCCTTCCGGTTCTAGCATTTCAGCTTTGTATAAAGGCCTGCTTCCCAAGATTATGAGGCTTGGACCAGGTAATAATGTTTTCATTACTTATATCCTTCCTTCCTTATTTCTCTAGTATCTCTTTTATCTTATTCGTGTCTATCTGTAACACAACTAAAGTTTGTCACACTGTGAAACATGGAAACCTTAAGGATAAAAAGTTGTCTAGGAGTATTCAAGACACTAAAGGCGTCCATTAGAAATGTTCTACTTTTGTTTATAAGGTACTATTTGTGGCCTTACTGGAGGCTGATAGAAGCCGAAGCCCACCTTAAGTCAACAGGAAAGGATGCACAGCCAGTCGGAGTTTGAGTCACTTCTGGCCGAAAGGGAGGATTTTTTACTGAGTGAGGGACCAGCCCAATAAAACCTTCCCTGGTGCTTCTAGTTCATTCTTGCTCCTGCCTCAGCTTCACTTCAGAAAGAGAAAAGGAGGACAGCTAGTCTCCATGAACAGCCAGAGCAACTCTCCCCACTGTCGCCTCTGGGGAGCGAGAAGGGAGAAGCTGCAGCCTGGCGCTCACCTTCCTAGCTCCTGTCAGCATGATGGTGGAGGCTTCTGGCTCGGGGCCTTACCTCAGGATGCCAGCCCACAAAAAGCCGGCTGTCATTCCCACAGGGAGAGTCAGCTGCCTCTGTGTAAATAGATAAGAAAGCAACTGCTGCAGACTCAACCACCTGGGCAAATAGTCTTGGATTATAAGCAACCTTGTGAATAAGTACAGAAGTATGCACTAGACCACACATATTATTTTACCAGGCTACACTCACCTTCTTAGACATCCTGGAAATCTTCCCCAGAACTGTCCCCTACTCCTCCCCTTTCTCCCTTTCCCAATCCTCCCTTTGAACACTGATGTCCCCTTCCCCTGCCACACTCACACACATTTACCTTTAAATCTTAGCCCAGTGAACGAGCATTTCTGCCAACCTGAGATATAGAACAGCAGTCTGTAAATTGAAGCTGGTGAACAGTTCATACTTTCGTATATTTTGAAAACACTTCCATAGTTCCCAATCCATCTATCCCAGCCTTTCTAGGCATTTAAGCATGGGTTTTTGCTTCACATTTGAGATTCAGACCTGCCTTCTATTTGTTATTGGCCCGTGTGTCAACACGAACCCAATGATAAAGAATATTGGTGATTTTGTGCCACTCTCTCTTCAAGAATGTGGTGTTTTTCCTTCACCACACAGTATAAACCTGCTAGTAGACCTCGTATTAGAGAAAATCATGGGACTGGCCCTAATCCAGCTTTCTCAGGACAGGATGGGCCTGAAAAGGGAGAGCGGTCAGGGAGAGTTTAGCTAAAACGGTAATTGACTGGAACCTTAATCCAAAACTCTTAAATAATCTGACCCCAAGTTTTGTTAGAGGCTTGCAAATGTTTGGTTGGCTTTTTAAGTGTTTTTTGCATGAGGTGTCCTGAGTTGCTGTGGTGTTAAATCCAATGAAAAGTGTTCTTGTGAACATACTGTCCAGGCTAAACAAAATTGTGAATAACTGGAAATCTCATTCAAGGACCTGGCCTCCACTCTCATCCCAAACATACAGGTCCTAGCAACCTCAAAGGAAAGAAAAGTGTAGAGAGAAAGGTAAGACTTTTGAGTTAAGGATAAGATTTTTTCGAGAGAGAGAAAGAGGGAGAGCGAGAGACAGTAAAAAAGAAAAGAAGGGTGAACCTGGCATTTTCATCCTTCGTTCTAGAGAAGCATCCCATCTTTTTTTTTTTTTTTTTTT